TAAGAACTATTAAGATGTCATCAAACATTCTTGCTTTTATGTTTCTTTTATTGCTTATCTCAAGTCCCATTCTTGGACAAGCTCCTACAGCAAGAGGCAAAGCTACTACCACTACTGCCACTAGGACTAGATTTAGGGCTGCTGGAACCACACCTACCGGAGGACCGAATGCTGCAAAAGGAAGACCTACAGATGACGCTTCACCTTAATCTGCATAATCTGCCTCTTAACGAAAAATATTTCTGCAGATATTTTTTTGTCAATGAGCTTATTTGCTTTTTCACATAGTCAGCCATATATGTACAATGGTAATCACTAATTTTTTTAAATTATTTTGAATATTTATCATTTAATTTTACATTGCCTTGTTTTTTTTTTTGTAAATCTTGTAAACCTTGTTTCTTCTTTTTTTTTTGTAAAATTTATTATTTATTGTTGTCTAAAAATAATTTAAATGTTATTTAACTGCTACCGATATTTAAATAAAATTGGCTGATTTAACTTAACAATAAAAATTATCTTTAACGATGTATTTAATTCGCATTTTTTCAGAATTCATTATTGAATGTTGACGTTTTTTAATGTGATTTGATATCAATAGAGATGGTTTAAAATTAATCGAAGTGGGACGTTGTAATTATTTGCCAGAAAATTCATTTGCGAAATATAGGATATTAAATTCCAGCCAATCAGTGCAACTCCATGAAAAGAGTGATATTAATTTTGTACATTTTAAATTATCAGATTTACGCTTTTAATATTCCTATAAATCATAGAGAAGCCCTTGAGAACTTGAGAACAGCCTTTATCACATCTGTTTTGAGATATTTACTTTTAAAATTATTCATGTACTCAATAAGTGTTCATACTCACAATCTCTAAAACGAAGGAATTGCATTTATTACATTCTCAGGACAAACAAGATAATGAATGATAGTTATATACACTATGTGAGTCATCACTGAATGTTTTATATGTATTTCGAAAAAAAAGCAACTCGTGATTAATGTTAATACATATAGATGCTGATATGAAAAGTTTTAGTATATCCGAATGCTCACATATAACGATAAATATTTACCTGATAACTCACTATTTAATATCACCAAATAAAGAAGATATTTACTCTAATAATAACTATAAAGTAATTATTTTACTGTATTAAAAAAATGCTTGTCATTCTTTAAATTAAAACGTTTATTTTTACAAATAAACTTAATGTCGTACAATTTAAATAACATTATTCTTGTGATACGCAAAAAATAAAAAAAAGTTACAAATAAATTTAAATTCTGATTATCGAAGCAGCCACAAATCAGATTGAGTAGAGATGCGGTAGAAACTGTTACTGCTTAAGCCGTAATAACTAGGGCTTAGTTACGGCTAAAGATGATGCTATGATGAATGCATCTTGCACCAAAAGCACGGGCACATGATAATATGCCACAGCCACTGTATAATTTCTTAGAAAATTGTTGAATCGTCTAGATCCTGCATACAGCTTTATTATTGTGAAAATTTAAAATGAAATATGTAACAAAGCAATATACTACTGGTTATTAAGATATGGCTGTGAAGTCTTATAATGCGCCTGTACTTTTTGGTGGTCGCCCTGGCAGACTCTCATGCATGCGCACTGATATGAAAATGCATTCACGTGATCATAATTTTCGCGGCAAAATTAGTCAACTTTAGTTTTATTAATTAATGATGATGTAATTTTATTGTGTAGGTTCTAATCATGCGCATGATATGCATAATGCGCATTTTACCCATCTT